CATTTCTTTCTTTTTTTTTTTTTTTTTTTTTTGTCCTTTTTGAGACCAGTCGCACCACGCTCAGCCAGTGAGCGCTGTGAGTGCACCGGTCATCCCTATATAGGATCCGAACCCACGAGCGCCACACTCTCCCGAGTGTGCCACGGCTCGGCCCGATTTCCACATTTCTTCACTCATTCCCATAGTCACACCTGGGGTTTTATCATCCCCCGGCAATTGCACCATCTCTGCAATAACTTCCTGTACTCCATGCTTACTTACTCAGGGACCCCTATGGCAACAATTATTGGATTTCATTGAAACCGCCTATTCATTGACCCTTCCATTTCTATTTATCAACGTCCATCTTCATGTCCCTCCTTATCCAGCTTGGATTTCATGGTTCATCATTATTATTACACTCTTAAGACAGTCTTAACTCCCTCTCTCCTGGAGTTCATGATTTTCTGATTTCCATTTTACCTTTCTCACCACTGTTTCTCAGTCATAAGAAACAGTGTTGGTTCCACTTCATCTAATCAAGCTCTAAATATTAGAATTACCTGATATTCTGTCCCAGGCTCTTTCCCCTTCTCATTCTACATTTTCTTTCTAGGCAGTATTCTCTTCTCCCATGGTTTTATATACCACCTAATGCTGACTTTTTTTCCCCCTAATGGCCACCTTTTATATCTAATCAGTCACCACATCCGAGGTAATTTTCGTCTCCAAAGCATATGCTCAAGCTCTTTATTTCTCTACATCTCCACTGCTTCTCTAGTCCGAGCCACCATCATCATTCTTTGGGACCACTGCAGTAGTCTTCTAACAATTGTCCTTGTCATTGCCTCCCTTCGATCTGTTCTCCACACAGCCACCACTAGAATGATATCTTCAAAATGAGCTAAAACCATGTCTTGTTTAAAACCCTTTAATGGCTTCTCATTATTCACAGGATGAAGTTCAAATTCTTAATATTACCTACACAAGGGTCTACGTGATTGGGCCCATATCTGCCACTTCAGTATCATCTTGCTTAGCATGCTCCAGCTTTATTGGCCTTTTCTCTTTTCTTTTCTTTTCTTTTCTTTCTTTTTTTGTTTGTTTGCTTGTTTTGGCTGCTGGCCAGTACAGGGATCGAACCCAGGACCTTGATATTACTAGCACCATGTGCTAACCAACTGAGCTAACCAGCCATCCCTGGCCTTTTCTCTTTTTAACATAGCAACTAACTTCCTGTCTCAGGACTTTTCCATATGCTCTTTCCTCTTCCTAGAACATTCTTCTCCAGGCCACCTCCTTCATATTCCCCTTACCCAGTTCACTTGACTAAATTACTTATCTTTCAGTTCTCATTTTTAATAAGTGACTTCTTCAGAGCATGTCCCTCCCCCAGTCTAGGTTAGGATCTCCATTCATATGCTCTCATAATACTCTATATACTCTATATTTTCATTTATAGTAGTTATCACAGTTGTTATTTTATTGTTATTGGTGGAATTATTTAATTAACATCTATCTATCACCCCCAGCATGTAGTATAATGCCTTACCCACTGAATAAATATTTGTTGAAGGAATGAATGTTGACTCTAATAGCTGAACTAGGAACTCTTACAACAGGAACAAGAGTCGCTGGAAACACCATTACTTCCATCTATCCTTCTTCTTTCTCTGAGTCTACGTATTTCTTCTTCTTGATGCCAAATGAGAGAAGGCTTTTCTCCATACATAACCCATAAAGAAACAGAACTCCCAATTTAGTCCCCAACCTAGGGATTCATGTGCCAAATCTCTAACCACTAATGTTGTCTAGAGCTCCTGTAAAGTTGAAAGTATAGGCAATAACTATTTAGTTTGGGAGCAGCTAAGAAAGATCAAATCAGATGGGAAAAGCCAACAACATGAGAGACCTCGGTCCAGAGGTGCCTGGTTATAAATCCAATGGAAAGAAAGGTAATTCTTTGGACATAGCAATCTTTAGCGGATTTTTCTGGTAAATTCCTTATTTTTCCATAGGTAAAGGGAAAGAGCAGACAAATCTCAACCCCATGACAATCACCTAATGATTGAAAGGATCAGCATATTAGGGAAAGATCAATCTGCTCTGTTGATCAACTATTGGGAACCTATTCTGCCACAGTATTTCTTTTCACCTTACAATGTCAGTTTTCTAATTCTGTAGCCCAGGTGCTATTTAGTCTGTTAATAATATATGAGTAGGTACCTTTGTACCCACATAGCTGAAGTTACAAGGAGAGTATATTCCAGTTCTCTCTCATAATCCCTCTACCTTGCTCCTCACCTTGTAAGCAACAATAGCATCCTTCTGCCTATTCTTCAGGGTCTGAAGTTCCTTCAGGATTGTCTCCAGTTGATCCTGATGGATGGCAAGCTCCTCCTGGGAATACCAAAGAGAATTAATCCACAGTGACTTGGGAGATGAAGGGCCATAGAAAACATCTCCCCTAAAGCCCCAGTGTGCCAGAAAAAAGTGAGCTCATACTGCAAAAATCTTTCCCTTCCCCTATATTTTTCAAGAATTGTGAAGAAAATTATAAGCAGGCAGAAAAACTTAGTTTTGCCTTCTTATTAGCTAGCTATAAGAGGTTGAAGAAGGTAATGAAACTCTATACATTTTCCACTCTAGGTACACTGTTCTCACCATCTATACTTTTACCTTTACTGTTCCCACTTGGAGCACTGGTTTCTGCCATCCACATGCAAATTATTTCTCAGTTCAAGTCCAATCCCTTTTTTTCACTATACAACCCCTGACTATTACAGCTTTCTCCAATCTTCCCAGAAATTCTTAACACTTATGAATTACAAATGTGATACAATTTCATTGTCTGTAGTAAACTATCTTATTTTACTTTTGTTGTTTTATTCATTCTAAACTTGACTAAATTACAAAACTTTTATAACAAGAGCAATATCTTATATGTCCATATTCTACGCAGTGTTTAGTAGACTGTGGTCCTGGCAGAGTTCAGGTAACTATTTGATTCAGGGAATAGGCCAGAGCTACTCCTCTGTTCCTTTTCTATAAGCAGCAACTCTAGAGAAAGAAAATTGCAAGATATTTTATATTTTCTGAGCACTCTGAGCTTTCTAATCATCATTTGAATAAAGGGGTGGGATTGGAAGAGAGAAAAAGCCCTACAAAAGATTTTTCCTAGATTTCCTAAGGGATTGTGCAAGGCCCAGGGCTTACCCACCATGAAGAAACGGACAGCATCAGAGATTTGCAGGAACTCCTTAGACTGCCCCACAGACAACCGAGCATCCTTGCATTGAAAGCAGATCAGTTTCCCATCTGGCTTACTGAAGAGTTTCAGGTTCTCTCCATGCTCTGGGCACTGGGGAAAGCCCTTGAGTAGGGGTAGCTTGTTAATCTTCTCTACCAGCTTCTCCAGTACAAGGTTGAATGTACACCTGCTATACTGACATAGCATCTTACACTCAGGACAGAATGTTTCCTTTGCTTGCAGCTTCCAAAAGTTTTGGATACAGGCTTGGCAGAAGTTGTGGCCGCAGCTTAGCATCAGTGGATCACGGAACCAATCATTACACAGTGGGCAGTGTAGCTCCATAGTAATATCTTGTATCACCACTTTAGAGGGTATGTGGGTGATTGAATCATTCAATTCAACATAGTTGCCTGGATCAGTGTTGGAGGAGGTGTTAGAGGATACCTTCGGAAAAGAACAGCTAAAATGAGTTTCTCTCTCCTGTTGCCCATTTCAGCACTTTAGGATGTTGGGCTCCATTCCTAAAGGAACTGAGAATTGGGTAACCAGAGTAAAAGCACCATAATCTCTCCTTTGAAAGTGATCCAATAAATTTGGTGTTTTCTAACATGAAATAGTTTATGACACTATTTAAACTTTAATAGAAAACCAAGGCAGAGGAAGAAAGAGTACTCAACCAAAGCAATGTATTTTGTTGTACATTCCTCTTTCCATTCAAAAAAGGTCACATAATGTATGATTCCATTTATGTGAAATATAGAGAATAGGTAAATCCATAACAGAGAAAGTAGATTAGTGGTTGCCAGGGGCTGGGGGAAGGAGAAATGGGGGGTGACTGCTTAATGGGTATGGGGTTTCCTTTTGCAATGATGAAGATGTTTTGGGACCTGATAGAGATGATGGTTTTACATTGATGGTTAGTACATTGTGAATGTACTAATTGCCACTGTAATGTACATTTTTAAATGGTTTTATGTTTCATGAACTTGACCTCAATTTTTAAAAATTGAAGCCATTTGACTCCAGAGGCAGAATTTTTATACTGAACATTCCCTTTTGCAGAATGCTGTATTATAGTGTCTTCCAGGATGTGCTACTATTTGATGAATAGCCACCAGAAGTGGCTTCAATCTCAATACCTAAGGGTCTGATGACATGAGTAAACATTCAGTGATGCCAGCTCTGCTCTAGTGCCCATACTTTCTGGAGCATAGAATGAGTAACATAGAAGCTCTGACATAGGGCTCACATCTGACCCTCCACTATATTTGTGGATCAGGACAAAGTACAATTAGAAGCCTCTGGCCCATTCTCCTTTTCACCTCCCAGACTCCTCACCCTGTCCCTCATAAGCAAGCATGTGGAAAACCCAACGCACACAACCAAGCTACACACACACACACACACACACACACACACACACACACACCTGTCCTTGGGCCATACCTCAAGCCTACCAATATACATACTGGCAGAGGTGTAGCCTGGGTGTGACTGGTACTGACAAAAGAGCTGTATTTTGTCTCATCTTGTTTTGGGGAAAAGAGCTATGGAGGCCCTAAAAGTGGGCTATGAATCTCTTGGGCAGAGAATTCTAGGGTCCCAGATCTGGAGTGTGATTTATAAAATAGGAGAGAGCATAGGCTCTATGTGAGTATGTCCCTTTGGTTCCATGGATTCCTCATCTTATAAAGAGGAACATAGCTGGAGGAAAGCCAGAGCTGGAGCCTCAAAGCATGGGCTCAGGGAAGGGCCCCCATTGCCCAGGTCTAAGGATGGTTCTACCCTCCTCTCCCATCCCACTCACCCTTATCCTAGCTCATCTAAGATGGGTTGGGCCTGTCTCTGTTCTGGAACCAGCAAGGAGGGGTTGTCCTGAAAGCAAGCCTCTGAGTTTCATCTCACAGGCCACACCTTCAGTAGAACTGAATTCCTGGAGTCTCGGGGTCCCTGTGGGGCTTGTCCGACTTGGCTATGTGGAGGACCTTGTTGTCACCATTGATTACCCAGGTTCTAGGATTCTAGGCTCTTCTTCCTAATAAGTTTTCTGCCAGAATTCCTACAACAATCCTGCCCACCCCCAGACTTTCATTCAGTGCTCTCAGCATGTGCCATGACCAGGCCTGTATATTCTTACCCTTTCCTAAATGCTAAAGATGACAAGCTGTGATCCAGAAGTATAAAAATGGGTACTGATATAAGCTTTCTCAATGTAGAAGGATAATCTATATGATGGAGATAAATGTGGTCAGGAGAAACATGTGGGAGAGAGAACTAAGATGAGACTTGAAAGATGAGATCTTAGGCAGACAGAAGTAAGGAAGATTATTATGGGTAAAAAAGAAATGTTAAATGTACATGCGCTATTCTTCAATTTGTATATCACCTCCCTCTGAAGGATGAAAAAGTTAAATATAGACAGAAGATTTATTCTGAGGCAAAAATTCCTGAGGGTTGATCCAGGGGTTACTCTGCTGCTCTTGAGAGAGAAACTGGAGCTTAGAGGAGTTTGAACCTGCTCTGACACTCAAGTCAGTGGTAAAATCAAGGGAATTCAAAGAATTCTAATCCTAAGGCCAGGGCTATCTCCATCTGCTGTACATCCCCTTGAGAATTTAATACCCAAAACTGCTCTATTCCTCATTCCTAACCCTTCATTCCCAGTTAGAAGTTCATATTTGCCTGTACTTATGGGCTTCCTTTTCTCATATTCAGACTTATTCTAGCCACGGGAATACAGCTAAAAATCCTTTGCCTCATCATGAAATTCCATTCTCATTGATGACTGTTATGTTGCCCTCACCCTGTTCCTAGATTCTCATCTTTATTTCTCCAAATGCTTTGGCTTGAGTCCATAGACCCTCGCTCTGTAGTTTCCCACACAGCTTGTGTTCCTTATCCTTGATGCCTGATTTCCCCACACTTGGGTCTTGCCTGTCTGGACCTATAATATAGCCATTTTCTCTTTAAATGTCACCTCTCCACCATTCTTTCCAGTCTCTTTCTGAAATGCCTATCAGACAGATGTCAGAGCTTCTCACTCTAGTCTCCATTTCTCTTAATTTCTCTTTCATAATTTCTTTTCTTTTCTTTTCTTTCTTTTCTTTCTTTTTTTTTCTTAAAGAGCTCATCTAACCAAAAGTGAAGAGAAGGCCAATCCTGGCCAGAGACCCTGAATAAAGGTGGGAAAGTATTAACTATGTTGGTAAATTCAGAGAACAGTTACTAGGATAGAAAATGGACACTAAGAAGTGTTGAGAGCTAAGGCCAAAACTAGGTTACAGTCTGATTTTAAAGAGGGGATATAATGGATGACATTTGTAGGCCTTGGAGTCAAACTGTCGTGTGTAACTTCTATGAAATCTTGGGTAACTTAATGTTCTAAGTCTCATTTCCCCATCTGTAAAGAGGAATGTGTTCATTCAATGGCATTCATTGAACATCTACTATGGGTCAAGCACATAATGATGGTAATGCCTCCTTGTAGGGTGTTATGAGGATAAGTTAATAAACATAAAGCATCTTGAATGCTTCCTGACCCATACTAAGTGCTGATTAAATGTTAGCTGTTAGTATTGATTACGAAAATGTTAAAATTCCTTCTTCCATGAGAAAGGTCATGCCATTTTTTTTTCTTGGCAGCTGGCTGGTATGGGGATCTGAACCCTTGACCTTGTTACAAGGCTCCTCTTTCATAATTTCTAAGCCCATGGCTTTCTGTGCTGTGCTCTGGACATAATCTCCCATTCTTGCTTTATATACGTTATTTATTTTTTGTTTCTTTAAACATCTTTGAATTAGATGAGTTCTTCCTGAGTCAGCTATTTGCAAGAGACCTATATGAGTCTCTTGCATAGGCAGGGCCATAGTTGAAGCTATTTTCTTTATGAAACATGTGTGCATGGGTTCTTTTTTCCCCAGTATCTGCACTGCAGGATTGCTTACAATGCAGAGTCTGTCTCCTCCATTCTACCTCATCTACAGACTGCTTCTGGCAAATATGACTTTTTCATCCTTGTTCAACTTCACCTACCCTATACCTCGAATCTTTGTGACAAATGGGTGTAGAGAAGCTCTGCTTCAGCCTGCTTTCCTGTTCTCATTGTCCTACACAAGGGCTTGTGGGTCTTGGCCCACAGGATGGGGCACTTTCTTTGGAGAACTATGTCACTCCCCTTTCGTGTGAGATCTGCATCCCTAGACATCTTCTCTCACACTCCTTTCTGATTTTCACTATATTTGGCAGTCCTTCCTCATACGTTATAATCCAAGCTATTTGATGTCTCTACTTTCATTGCAAAAAGTTTGTCTGTTTTTTATTCTCTTTGTAGCTTTGACTTAAAGAAGGATGAGTTTCTAAGAGAAGCAGGAACACTTACTGTTTTTCAGTCCACTATTTAAAGACCAAAGCGTAAATTGTTTTTTGACACCTTATCCAACATTTCTATGTGTCTAGAGAAGTGTGTGTGTGTGTGTGTGTGAGAGAGAGAGAGAGAGAGAGAGAAGGGGGCAGACATGATTAGATAATGGACTTTCAGCAATCAATATAGATTCTTTTCTTCAAAGTTTAAAAATTGAATTTCCCTCTAGCCCACAGGACATGAGGACTCAAAGTCAATATTTAGCGGTCCCCATAGCATTTATAGAAAATACTATGTGATATTCTTTGCACACTTGAATTTTTAAACTAAGATCAATCCCCAATAACTACTAGATACGTTAATCACAGTAGCTGTCATTCCCATAGTCCATGCTAAGGTCAGGCCTACACACACCACGTGGCCTCCACCCCCTCTCTCAGGCCACAGATGGGCTTCTGATCCATTCTATAGCCTGTGCAGCAACCCAAGATGTGACCTGATGCAAAAAGATAATCTGGAAAACCCAGAACCTCTCATGAATTTGAATCTGGAAACTAAGATAGAATCAGGAAATTGACAGTAGGAGTAAGTTTAAAGATTACCACGAAATAGAGTTTGGGACATGAAAGGTCATGGCAAGGACAGTCATAAGAAAAAAGAACCTAGGAGATTCATTTTAAACAGACGGCAAAAGAAATGCAGGAATGAAGGGTGGGGAGAGTCAGCTGGTAGAGACAAGAATTAAAAAGAGAAAGAAATGTGGAGAACATCTGCATTATGTTAACCATAGCACTGTCCTTTGGCTCTTCTTGGATTCCTATACCTAGCGTGATGCCTTGCCATAGTAGGGGCTCAACATATGTGCTGCAGGAAAGACTTTATACTCACAGTAACTGAGGTTATCTCTCTGTTTAAGGTAACTGGTCTGAATCTCTGCCCTTGTCATGGACCCTCTGCCCCAGTACTCTATGGAATTTTTTTCTTGGAGCGCTAGAGTAGAGTTTGCTAAACACTCATTTAATGGCATTCTCAATGTTCATTCTCCTTGACTTTTTCAATCTATTCTTTGTCCCTTGTGATGCAATAGTGTCCTAATTCTCCTGCCTCTCTTCTGCCTTGGCCAGTTTCTCATCCTCTTCTCATTTCTTTTTTTTTTTTTTTTTAAAAGATGACCGGTAAGGGGATCTCAACCCTTGGCTTGGTGTTGTCAGCACCACACTCAGCCAGTGAGCAAACCGGCCATCCCTATATGGGATCCGAACCCGCGGCCTTGGTGTTATCAGCACCCCACTCTACCGAGTGAGCCACGGGCCGGGCCCGCTCTTCTTATTTCTTTAAGTATAAACAATCACCATGGTCTGTCTTCAGCTGTCTCCTATCTCTATGTTCTCTTCTTACCAAGTGAACCACTCATTCCTGTGACTTCACAGACAGCCTCTATAAAGGTGACTCCCAAATCTGTATCTCTGAGCCATGGCTGGGTCCTTGAAAATCAACATGACTGAAACAGAACTCATGTTTCTCCCTAAATCAGTTCCTTCCTTTCACTTCCCTATTTCCATTTATTGCACCACCAATCTCTGAGTTTTGAAATCTGAATTATCTTTAGATATTTCATTATCCTCTTCCTTCCCCATCATCTAATCAGTTGAAAGGTCTAGTTAATAATAATAATAATTGCTAGCCCTCCTCTGCCTCCAAAATCTCATGTTGCTCTTCATAGCCTACCAAAATAAGTTTTGTGGGGTTTTTAAAGGGCCTGAGAATTCAGAATTCTCTACAACATGTTGAAAATTTATAGCTCTAGTCTTTTTTCCCATGGTTTGTTGTACACTTGATATTTTAAATTTACCATACTTTTACATATTAATAATTCATTTAAGTTTCATTAACCAAAAGATTTCAAAAGATGATTACTTTATTTTTTGTACTAGCCTGAGTGAACAATTGTGTGGAAGTGAAGAGAAAAAAAATGTTTATTCTCTACCCTCTCAGTGTGTACCTAGAAGAACAAACCCAGAAAAATATGCCCATCAGGGAATATGCAAGTACAGAAAAATATTGCATTTTATGCCATTCAGGGCTGTTTTGAAAACTTTTTAAAAAATGCATTCTGAATAGGATAAAACTTGCGGGAGAACCTGGCCAATTGGAGGTGAAGAATCTAGGAGAAGGGTCACCTACCAGAGCTGGTTTGTAATCCTGGTGAATGGTGGCTTTTGAAGGTGGATGTCATTTAGGAATTTCATTCAATGAGTTTTTAAAATGTGTTAAAGTAGATACTGGTTTCCAAGACTGGGGCAAGGGAGAATGGGGACTGACTGATAATGGGTATGTAATTTCTTTGGGGGGATAATGAAAATGTTCCAGAATTAGATAGTGGTGATGGTTGTACAACTTTGTGAATATGCTAAAAAAAATCACTGAACCGTACACCTTAAAAGGGTGAATTTTATGATATGAAAAATATATTTAGGGCCGGCCCAGTGGCGCACTGGAGAGTACGCCGCTTGGGAGCTCGGCAGCGCTCCCGCCGAGGGTTCGGATCCCATGTGGAGACCGGTTCCCGCTCACTGGCTGAGCGCGGTGCGGGCGCGACACTGAGGGTTGCGATCCCGTTGCCGGTCCCTGGTACGGGCACAACACCAAGGGTTGCGATCCCATTACCGGTCAGTAAAAAAGACAAAAAGGAAAAAAAAAAAAAGAAAAATATATTTAATGTTATTTATTGTCAATATCATATGCTTGTGTTTTCACGGTTAATTCATCTTGCCAGTTGAGGTTTAGCAATTACCTTGACTTTCAAGAATATATCTTGTGCTATAAAACAAGGGATTGATCATATTAGCTAGTATTTACTGAGTATTCACAGTGCAAAATGCTTTATGCACGTTATTTTATTTAATCCTCATAACAACCCTATGGGATAGGTATTATGACCTCATTTTCAAGGAAACTGAAGCCTAGAGAGTTTAAGTAACTTGCCAGGGTCACAGTTATTAGGTGCTAGAGCCTGGATTTGAGCTTTTCATCTGACCCCAAAGTCAATTATCCTAAGCATTGAGTCAGCCAAGAGCCAATCAATATGTTTTGTGGAACTGAATTTATTAAATGGATCAAATTTGAGAGGCAAAATACCTGAAATAATTTTCTACTGCTCTAGAGGGAGGTATAGAATTGCAAACCAAAGGTGATTCTGAAATTTCTATATCTAGAAATCACACCCACTGCCAGCCCCTGTAAAGAAAGTCTAACCTCAAGGCAGAGGGAGAGAAATTCAAGCGAGGGATTGCTATTCATCCTTATAAAGTCCTGGCTGGCAGGAATCACTTTCTAAGAAAGCATGTCCTCCTCCTTCCACTCACTGTACACATTCTCATAGAGCAGAGAAAAGGCAAGGAGCAAATCTATGGAGTCCTTGGAAAGCTGTAGAAGAAATATTTAATATTTCCCAAAGATTTCCCTGAGAAGTTTCGAGTTATAAATTTTTTTTCCTTTGGTGGCTGGTTGGTGCAGGGATCTGAACCCATGACCTTGGTGTTACAAGGCTGTGCTCTAACCATCCAAGCTAATCAGCAAGCCCTGGCTTGTCTGTCTTAAAGGAAGGAATTCAGTTTAACTCCTATAAGAGTCAATTCTGCTTTAAATATGAAATATCAAATGTGATAATATAATCAGCAAACCAAGTGATATATAGAATCTTTTTTTTAGTCTAAAACTTATAAAGTGATTACATTAATAAGGAAGGTAAATTTTGGGGTTGGGGGGGTTGTCTTTTTTTTTTTTAAAAGATGACCAGTATGGGGATCTTAACCCTTGACTTGGTGTTATCAGCACCACATTCTCCCAAGTGAGCCATGGGCTGGCCCCATGGATGGTAAATTTTTGTATGGCATTTAGTTTAATTTTTCTCAAAAGATTATGGTGGATTTCATTACTTTCCTACCTGCCTCTCTAATCTAAATTCTCAGTTATTCTAAGGGCTAGTGAAATATAGAAGCTACAAGCTGTCACAACTTAAATATTTACCTAAATTCCCTTTCATGCTCCAAAATCCATACCTCCTCCTGTTGTACTGTTTTCCACACCATGCTTAGAAAACCTGCTGAGTTAAGAAAAGGATAACTTACCTCCATGAAGTTTAATCATAAGGCCACCAGGGGGCAGAGGCAGGCACTTGGATCAGAGCTCAGCAGGCCCAGGATGGCTGCAAACCAAAAGTGAGGGATCTGTTAGTTTGCTGGGAATGGCCTCAAAGCATGATGAAGGAAGGAAAAGTTCAGAAGCTGGAGAAAAGGGGCAAGCCAGAATGAGATCTGGCAGATTCCGTGACAGTTGGTCAGTTGCTTTGATCATCCTTTGCTTAAGAGAAAGAGTAACTTTGATTGGAATGGCCTACCTGCCCACCCTTTGGCAGGGGATGAGGGGGGTGCAGCTCATTTAGATTCAAAATGGGACTCTAATCTTAAAGTTCACAGATCCCTATTTCTGGACTAGCCTGCTCTATGAAAGAGGAAATGAAATAAATCTCATCAGCAGCCTATAAGCCTAACACATGAGAAGTCACCACCAAACCCCTACTCAAGCTCCTATCACAGCATCAAGACACCAACTGAGTGGCTCTAATAGAGAACTGTTTCACTTCTCACATTCCATTGAAACAGCCGTGACTCTATCTCTGAGAAAGTAACAAAGGCCTGGAAAACCCCAGGCCCTAAAGAAGCAGGACGGAAAAAGTCACCATTTCATACAGCTTTCTTCGGCAGCTTTAGCTCACAGAGATATGTACCTAGACTGTGCTCCCATGTGAACTATAAAAAGCCATCACAGTTGTTTGAGTTCTTTATATATTCTGGATATTAGTCCTTTGTCGGATGTGTATTTTGCAAATATTTTCTCCCACTCTGTTGGCTGTCTTTTAGCTCTGTTAATTGTTTCTTTTGCTGTGCAGAAGCTTTTTAGTTTGATATAGTCCCATTTGTTTATTTTTCCTTTGGTTGCCCGTGCTTTTGGGGTCATATTCATGAAGTCTGTGCCCAGCCCTATTTGCTGAAGGGTTTCTCCTATATTTTCTTTAATAAGTTTTATTGTTTCGGGGTGTATAATTAAATCCTTGATCCATTTTGAGTTGATTTTAGTACATGGTGAGAGATATGGGTCTAGTTTCAATCTCCTGCAAATGGATAACCAGTTATCCCAGCACCCTTTGCTGAAGAGAGAGTCCCGACCTTAATGGCTGTAAGTTTGAAGTAGTGATAAACATAGATGTTATGGTGAGATATCAACAACTACTGT